ATTATTATTATTTTTTTTCTTTAAAAAAAAATTATTTATCTCTAGCCATATTAAAATGTTCTTTTGAAAAGAACTTGGTTTTTTTTATCTTTTCTTTTCTATTTCTTGTAATAGTACTTTTTTTATTTATCCTTAAAAAAAAAAATAGTTAAAGGCGATGTTTGGTAAAATAATGAAAAAAAAAAAAAATTTATTTGTAACCATAGTTTTTTAATACAGTACAGTACAGCAGTACATAAATGAAATATTGATTGCATTGTATCACGTGCCAACTCATATATAACTTTAATTTCTTAACGTTAATCCTGGCCGGGATTTTATCGAAAATTTCGAAAAAAAAAAAAAAAAAAATTTTAATTTTTATCGTTTACTACTGTAAAGAATATTCTTTTCACTAAAAAAATTTATCCTCGATAATATTGGTGTGCCTCTTAGTTTAAATATCTTGAGTTTTTAAAAGCGTTAACTGTTAAAAGAACAAAAAGTAATGACAAGTAAAATGGGGTAAGTTCCTCATAGTAAAAAAGATTGTCTCGAACGATTTTATAAATTTTGTTATAGTAGTAGTGTCTTTCCAACTCCAAATTCTCCAACGAATTCTCCGAGACACATCATTCATACAAGAGGCGCGTTAGCTGCTGTTGGTGCAAATAATTATACACAGGTATAAAAATGAAGTTTACAGTGCACGTTTTTTCGGTGTAAGGGTAAAGTTATAAATAAAATATGAATAAACATTATATAATTTTCTTGTAGAATAATAATGATCAATGCGATACATGTGGCTATGGTGGTCGTTTAATGTGCTGTGACTCTTGTCCGAAAGCTTTTCATTTTACATGTTTGGTACCTCCTCTTGATGTTGATAATCCACCAAAAGGAAATTGGTATTGTCGTGAATGTAAAAGTGATAAGGTATGTATTAATGCATATTAATGGTCTCTATTTATGATTTATATTTAATGTTGTCTCTTCAATTGAATGTTTTTTCGCGTTAATTTGATAGTCTTCACCATCGATGCCAGCACAAGGTCCTTTCCAGGAATTGATATATAAAGCCCGTTGCTCAAACCCAAAATCTTATTTGTTACCAGAGCATGTTAGAAATGCATTTGAAGATGGTTTGTTTAACCTTAATCTTCAATTGTTTTCTATTTTGGACTATTTATATCATTCTTTTCTCTTTATTAAATAGTTGGCACAGGTCCTCATGGTGAATATGTAGATACAAACAAAGTCAAGTTTGAACAAAAAGAGTAATACACTCATTTTAATGATCAAAAACAATTTCATCGACAATTCTCTACCATCATTAATAAAGTTGTATTTCTAAATTTCAAAGTCGGAATGGGTTCACATTGGAACCTGATCATCACCGTATGCAAGATGATAATGGAAAACTTGTTCGTTGTTTTTCATGCAAACTTCCTCCAAGCAAGTCGAAACCAGTAAAGTCTTGTGATTTTTGTGATCTTCATTGGCATTTCGATTGTTTGGATCTTCCATTAGTAATTGCTATACCAGCGAACAAAAAGTGGATGTGTCCATGCCATGCAGACCATGCGTTGGTTAGTAAATATGAAAATAACAGAATAAAATTCGAATATTTGAATTTTTTATTTTATTTTATTTTATTTTTAATATTTACTCTTCTTTTACTCAAAAATAGCCACCATTACGAAGATTATGTTCAGATAATAACCTACCTTTCAATGACAATACAATTATCGAAACCTCTCCAC